CTCATGTGGTTGGTTTTAGTATACACATGTATGTATGCATACGCTTTGTAGTTCTGTGCATTTTACAATAATCACACTAAACAGAAAACGTTTACAACGTTTTGCTTAGTTTTTGTTTACAAATTTTATCATCATATCACATGACAAATCACATGTCAAACACCAAGGTTATACACATACCTTAACTGAAGCCTTGGTATCAAAACTTGATATACATCGTCACATATTAACAGAAAAGGATCCGAATTTAATCATTTAATTAATGCGCTTTATTTATTTTAGTGTTAATGGTATTAAACTACGTTTGTTTAATGTTTTTAGTCTTATATTGATCTGAGTACTTGCCAATAGATTTTACCTGTTGGGATAAAATTAATTTTCATTTTCTAAGATAAAATTATGATTGAAATCTGAACTGTTTTTTAACAATTTATAATTACATTTAATAGTCAAAGTTTCCGTTATGACGGTGAAATTTAGATGTATTTTTGATATCTATATCTCCATTTAAAGCATATATAACTAATTTATATAGTCGTAATGCACTTGAGACAAAATTTAATTTCTAATGTTTCGATTGAATTTAAAGACCATTGCACTTTTACATAACGGTAAAAATAACTGTTTGGATTATTTCATGAAGAGGGGGATTAGACGAAACAGAGAAATGCTTAACGCTGTAAACAAGTGTAAACTGTCATATAAATTAAAGCCTTTTCTAAAAGTTCTAGACAGATAAATAAAAAACAAAAAAACAGTTACATTCACCAGGGGAGTCGCTAGCTTCCCAGAAGATTCAGAGCTTGGGACTCAAGAAACAGCTACTACTTAAAATAATCTTACATGTACATATATATATATATATATTGATACTATAATTTGGGGAAACGGATGTAAGTCCGTCGGCATTTCACTTAGCTGATTCATTTTTTCTTCTCACGTTCAGCTCTAAGTAGCTCTATCTAGGGTACGGTCATTCGATTGGTTAAACATTTATGACCCTGAAGGTACAAATAGTGAAAATGTAAACAACTTTTACTCTGTGAATTCGATAGACCATGGCTGAAATATCACAAATCTATATATTTTGACGTTACTTTACTAGCAGAATAATTAAAATCATAAATAATATTGAACGTTAAACTGGTACACAATTAAATAGGCCTATCTATGGTCTTCAAAAAGTTGACGACATTGTAACGTCGAAACATGAAGAGTCGTCAACTTTTTGAAGGCCACAGATAGGCCTAAATAAAATGTTTTTAATTGTGTACCAGTTTAACGTTGAATATTATTTATGATTTTAACTTTATACACAAGTGCCAAAATACAATAATTAGCAGAATAATATCATTTGGAAAAATGGATATCTATCTGAACAACAACAAAAATAATTATAGGTGTATATGTGTAAGGCCAACTTAAGAGCAACTCTAATGGATGTGTATATGTGTTATAATTACTTAACCCTTTTCTGCTGCAAAATGTTTAAATCATAATATCATGTAATGCTGTAGCAGCAAAATAATTATTTAAAAGACAGTTTTCAGTGTTGTTTATGTCTTTTTACGCTAATAAAAAGATTGTTAAGTTTTTATGTTTCAAATAAAATGCACGCGCAGAAGCATGTTTGAACGTATTCTGTTTTTATTTGTGTTTCGAATAGGTCTGCTGTGTTAATTCCTAAAATTTGTCCACAAATTTAATCTTTATTCAATTCTGAGAATTTTGTTAACAATGGATAACTAAAATATTTGAAGGTGGCGTGAGTAGTCACAGTATCCACATTGTTGGAGATGAGTATTAACGTTAAAAGAAATTTTAGAATGAGCATATCTTAGCGGCCAAGTATTTGAACTTGTGTGATTGAATGAGAATGAGAATTGAATGAAATATCACACCTCTCAAACATTTTGTCGAATTTCCACACGTGAAATGAAACTTTTCATGCTGCTTATATTCACAACTTTTTATCATAAATCTAGGAGTTCAAAGTATAGAATACAACCAACAAGTTTGTCTCGGTATTTAATGCAAGTTTCAGACAAAAAATTGACGCAACTAGTACAAGGCTTAATCTGGTATATTTGTGATTTTTAATATTGTTACGTCTCCGTGTGTTAATTAATTTTCCGTAACCTCGTTCCGACGAAACTTAAGCGACACAAGTCTTTACTTAATAAAACTGGTTTATTCTTTCCGAATACAACTTTACCGATACGATTGTTGAAGTTGAGTGCGCTATATCAACGAACGTCAATAATACTTCTGACCGTAGATCAATTACACACTATCTACCCAGACATTACATTCCCCTCTTTTATATACCAGCCTACCCTATATCTAGTAAGAACTAGAACATTCGCCAAAGTACATGATAGTTCTAGAAACGTTGCGTCACAGTAGTCATGTGACTCGATGACGCAACAATATCAATGACAGGGAATCGGGAAAAGGAAAGGAAGAAAGTCTACAAGTCAGGACAAAAGAAGTCACAAACGTGAGAGAATGAGACGTTTGGACGTGAGAAAGGAGACAGTAGAAAAAGGAAACAGTAAAAAACCTAATAACTAGCAAGAATAAAAAAAATAAAAATAAACCCAAGGATAGTGGGTTACAAAGTAAAAACAAAAAAAAACGAAGAATAATAAAGAACACAGGCAAAAGAGATTGAATGGTTAAAGTCGTTTCATGAATGGTAAAGTACTACCCATATAAATCAGGTGAAGGTCATATTCTAATAGATCATTCCCAACTGAGGAGAAAGAAATTCCGCCGACGAGACGGGCGGGAGAAGGAGGAAGCCTATTTAAGCATGTGGTAATCCAAAACACTTTGAACAATGGCTGCAACGACCCTGACAGCTAACACGCCTCCAAAGGCCACAGCAGAAATAAGGTCTAAATGAGAACAATGTCTCACACTCAGAACAAAGTATAAATCACCGTCATTTGAGAATTCATAATAAAGAATGAACGCTTTTGAAACAAAAGCTAAAGAAAACAATAATCAAAGTTTCGTCAACGAAACAAATCTCAATAGATTTAACACAGACATGACATTTAATGACGTCTTTGCTTTAGGCTGTCGATGAAAAGAATGAAGAATCATGAGTGCATGCAAATACATAAGGGGAGTTATTGCGCACGGAGTATGTCACCTTCCTTACACTGCCGAGGAAAAGAATGAAGAATCATGAGTGCATGCAAATACATAGGGGAAGTTATCGCGTATGGAGTGTGTCACCCTCCTTTTGATGGAGGGCTTTTGCTGCATAATGCAGTGGCGCAATTCACGTGAAATTAGGTGAGAGTTGCCTCAAGTTTAGTGGTATGCAAATATCTTTGGCAGACATGCTGAGGAAGATAGCTTATTTGTGAAGGGATGAGTTATCGTTTCAGAATTTCCATGTACAATTCACTGTATTTCTATAGAAAACTCCAACATAATTCTGTAAAAGTTTCGAAATCCTACAGAATCACCTCTTTGATAATTGACGATCTTGCAAGGATATAGAAATTATTTAGACCTTATAATTTTTTTGTCAAGTATTAACCCAGAGGTGTTGATAGGTGCTTAAAATATTCGGGTCTGAACTCGCAGCAATTTTCGGCGTTTCAGTATTATTGATCATGGTTTTCTATTCTGATTTTTTTTTTTGAAGAACACCAAATGGATTCATGGCACTGTCAAATAGGTTCGGGACACAGGCCCCACACGCCAATGCTTAGCGAGGCCTCCATATTAACCTGCTAAATTTTGCAAGCTCATGTGGTTATCTTCTATATCTGCATGGAATGGGACTGTCTCAGCTTTTAATATTGTGTATAAGGTACACATATATATACTTATGTATAGGTAGCATGTCATATGTACACACAAATGTACATGTGTATGATTCTGATAAAATGGGCTAGTCACTAAATTGCATTATTATGATCAGATTAGAGAAGTTACTTTTCATGGGATACCCACATTCAGTATAGTATGTGCATGTGTATATTTTTCAGACCTTTTCATATTATTCAGATTACAAAAACTAAACAAGAAACTATACATCTCATGCTTTATATTATTCACTACTTCTAGTACAAAATAAACTTTCTACAACTAAGAAATCTAAACTATTGGAAAATCCCAGAACTTGTAAAATAAGTTAATATATGCATATTAGAAAACATTTATTCTGGGGAAGAAGTAATGATAACAAAGTCAAACAACCATAACATTAGTGTGAACAAATGATGAAACACACTTCAAATGTTACTTTCATGTAATTAGATTAATTAAATTTGAGTCACAATCTGAGCACACACACAAATCTAATAAAATATAAAATCATTAACTTAAAACGTCAAGCAGTGTCTTTCATTTAATACACAACACTCAAAACTTTAAGAATGGAATCGAAACAGACCTAAACTGTGTAAACTAACAGATCATCTACATTTTTGCTAAGACAGTTACGCTTTAGTGACAGTAAACTAACATTAGAGCAGTGCTGCTCATTAGTATTCCATATCTGGTTCTTAAAATATTTTAACTATAGTTCATTATGGTAATGAAGCATCAAATTTGAAATACTAATCAAACTATATAAACAAATTCTCTAAACAAAATGAACCTAGTGATGAAAATATTTTACAATGTTTCCAGTATAAAATGTTATATCATATTTAATAGTTATTATATTTTGGTACTGTTTATTATAAACAACAAGTAAATACTGAAAGACTTCTTTTTGCCTTAAACCAATGCCAATCTTTCAATTCATTGTGTAACTAATGTCTCTAAGGTATTCTAAGTCTGTCATTCTTAAATGTTATTGATTTAATGTCACCAACAATGACAACTGTCAGGGCAAAAATGTTGAAAAAAATATACCAAGTATTAGAAAGTGTTAAATTGATATTAAAAAGTACATGTACTAAACATTTATTTGGGTAAAAGGTAACAAACAAAAACCATGTTCAATTATACACACACACAATCTGAGAATTCTACATAGACACACTTACATCAGAGACAGGGGAACCTGACTTCACATGCTCTCCATGCACTACATCATGCTCCTTGGATACTCTATCTTCATGCTTCAGGTTGGGAATGTTGTTAGATTTTACAATTTTCTCATCTTGGATATTATTAGAACAAAGTTTCTTTCCTTCTATGATCTCTGTATGTTTTGACATCTCAGCATGATCAGTCTCTATTTCATCTGAGATTACACTGTATTCTGTTTTCCCATTATCTGGGGATACATCATTTTCTATCATGATATCTCTTAGAACCACATCATGCATAATCTCTACTTCTCTCGGTGTCACATCATAGTTTAACTCTACTTCTTTTGGGATCACATCATGTTCAATCTTTATTGTCCTTGGTGTAACATCATCATCTAATTCTAAGTCTTTTGGGGTCATATTTTGCTCAGTCTCTACTTCTGAGACTATATTATGTTCAATCTCTACTTCTTTTGGGGTCACATCATGCTCAGTCTCTACTTTTCTTAGTGTCACATCATCATCTAACTCTACTTCTTTTGGGGTTTTATTATGCTCAATTTCTGCTTCTCTTGGAGTTACATCATACTCAATATCTGTTTCTGAATATAGGTTATAGTCTTTTTTCTCTGTTTCATTTGTTAAAGATTTGTCAATTGTATTGCTTGCATGTTCAAAATTATGCTTATCAAGTATTAAATCTTCTGTTAATGTCATTATTTTGTATTCTTGTGGACATGATTCATTATACAGACCTACTGATGTGTTCTGGTCATCACTAAGACAATTTTCAAGTAAGTTTAATACTCTGTGTTCTTTGCTATCAATGTTATTATGTGTAGGCAAATCTTTTTCAGCATCCTGTACATATGAGCCATCTTCAACCATGCAAGTGGTGGTTTTTGTGGTAGTTCTTAAGATAGTATTGACTAAAGAATCATCTGGCTCAGTGTAAGTGGTTATCATAGTTCCTGTAAGTGACTTGACATCTTTATTATCAAAGTCTGCACACTGAATCATCTCTTCTGTTCTTTGAGTGGTAAGCCAGTCTTCAGGATACTTTTTAGTTATTGACTCTTTTTGAAAATGTTTAGTTTTAGTCACATTTGAATGTAAGTCTGGAGAGTCTATGTCAGATTCTGAACCTGATCCAGAAGTGGAGAATTGCTGTTCATCACTTGATGAATCACATTCATTTCTGTTTTTAAGTGATGAATTCTCTTTGGACTTAGTAACTGAAAATTGTGACCTATTGTGAGTTTCAGTTAGTGTATTTTGTGTGTTCAGACCATGTTGATCATGATCTTTTAAAGTGGACTGATCTATGTCATATTTTTGAACCTCCTGTTTTGCCTCATCACCTGCAGTTCCACTGGTGGTGAAGCTTTCAAAATTGTCTTCCTTGAATTCAAAGCGTAAAGGGTCAAAATCTAAAGATATTGGACTATTTAGAAACTTAGTAGGATCAGGTGATGTAGGAGCATGATTACTTACAGAGCCATCACCCATGTCTGTCAGTGTCTTCACTCTTGACATGGTTCCTGTATAAAATTTAATAAATGTTAATAACAAGGAATGGAATAGAAATTTGGGAAATTTTCAATTTAATTTTCAACCTGTTAAATTACAGAAGTCAAGTGTCATACAAAGTACTTATATATATATATTATAAAAACTTTATACATAGAATATATACTAAAACAAATAAATAATAATGATATATATGTAAATGTAATAGAATGTTAAAAAGTTACATTAAATAATGTAATGTATTTTTACAATACAAATATGGCAACAGAATTTGACATGTAAAACAAATTGAAATATTAAAAATCTAAACGAAATAAATGTTTAGCAAGCAATATCAATATTGACCACTTACATGTTGTGCCTAATGAAATACATACTGCATTTAAATATATAGTTGCCATTGTAAGACTTGAGGGAATCAAAATTGTTATTCTTTTTTCTTGCAGATGTTTTTAGATAATGGCACTGTGCACTGATAAATATGTAGAGATGATCTGGAATGAATGCTTTCAGTACTGTGTCTAATTTGAGCAAATTCTCTATATATGTATACATACAGATATTCAGCCAATGGCAACAAATTTAGATGTATTTCTGAAGTAAAAAAAATGGAAGTGAGTATGATTATTCACACTGTAGCAAAGTTTAATATATATTTTTTTTGTAAAAGTGAATATATTTCAAATTTCAATATGCGGTCTTTTCAAGTAGATTTCACAGATGTTTGGCTTACTTTGTAAAGAAGCTGTGATATTATGGAATATAAATAGTGAATTATTAACCAACGAACAGAAAAATTTAATTTACGATAGATAAACTGGTAAATATCTTAAGCTATATAAGCAGTTACGTGTACGTGTATATAATCTAGAATACATACCTACTTTCTACAACCAATTTAATTATAATGCAAAATAATATGTATTTTTTTAGGTACATGTATTGTTTTAATAAGTTATTTTATGTATTAATTTGTACATCTTACAGCATGGTAGTTAGAAGTTTTTTTTTTTATCAGAACATCAGACAGACATATGTATCGTTACGACAGCGCAAGTCACGCGACGCTGATAGCGAATGCGTGACTAAGTTTCTCAAATAATCGGGAAGCTCGAGTGTGATCAAGACGCCTCTTTGTTAGTATATAAGCCTGACGAGAAAAACCAGCAAACAGTAGTTACGGTTTTTCGGGCAATTGACGATTCTGTTTCAAGCTAGTGTGTGTTTTGCACTCGTAGAGAGCAAAGTATCGACATTGTGAATTGCTGTGATTTATAGCGTTTATTATAAAAGTTGTTAAGTTTAAAGTGACAAGAAATGTACTGACTGTGGAAATACTGTGTACTAAAAGTTTGTATTGAGAAAGAATAAACTGAGTTAATCATGAAGGAACTTGTATCGCTGAAGTTCCTCAGAAAGAATTTATACCAGAAATTAACAAATAAGCAGATACGTAACAGTATTTTAAAATCTTAAACATTTGAAAAAATTAAATTTTATATGAATAACTTCTCTTTACGGTGTTCAAAATATATCATACAAAGAAAATGATTTTTTATTTAGTTTCTACACATTAATTAAAATTATTCATTAGTCATAAAACTGAATTTATTGAAAAAATGAAAAATGTACAGTTATGGAAAAATATATATATTAAGCATGTATGGCAATAACCTCATGTGAAGCAACATTTTTAGAAAAGCAGTGTTCAATCAATTATCAAATAGCATAATCTGTGTTGTCTATTCACAACAATGTATGAAAATGTAAGGTGACTATGATTATTCAGTTGTTCTCCTTATTCAAACATAACATCCATAAGTCTAATCAATAAAAATTCAAAAGAGCCCAAAATGAATTCCAAGTCCACGTCATCAGGTAAAACCACTCCACACATATACATGCCTGTCTAAGAAATAATTTTATTGAAGAATAAGTTTACATCCAAACAGATCATCTATAGGTAGCTATAGGTGATCTGTTTGGACTGTACCCATTCTTAACAATGTTCAGCATAAAAAGCTAGTCAGCTGTAGTTCTTCTATACTTCAAAGTGCTCATATGTATTATAAAAAACTTTAGACATAGAATATATACAAAAACAAAAAAAAATAATGATGTTTCAAAGGAAAATACAAAGTGTCTGTTAGTAGCTTAAATTCTTATTTCAAAAACTAAATGTACTTATTCATATTTATATATCTATTCAACATAAGGTAAAAAAATTAAACTAGTAGCACACACAACAACAACATTAATCAAACCCATTCATAATTTTAAATTTTAACAAATATTTTATATTGCTTATAAAGGGGGTCTAGTTCTGAAATTTTAAAGTTTATAATTATTTATAACTCCTAATACTTTAGTTCCTACTTTCAACCTCGACTTTCCACCATTCAAACAAACCACCCAATGGCAAGTTATAAAAGTCATCTAAACACTTTAACACCTGAATTGGACCACTTCTCCTTCTTGTTTTATTTCATGCCATAATAACTGTTGTTCATCCAATTTGATGATATAAATAGGATCTCGACCACTACTGTGTCTGTCACATGAGCCCTTGTATTTGGTGAAAGGCATCATTTGCACTGGATACAGCATATACACTATAGTGTGGTTCACATATTTTTATAGATCCTTCATTACTTTACTACATGATATCATAACATTTCAAAACACTCCAGAAAAACAAATTTAATGGTAAGTCTTACAAGTCTGTAAGTTTTTAGTCACAATCACAGCTCCAATTTTGAAACAAATTATTTTCCAAACTATACATGTTCACTAGCTATAATCTCACTGACTTATATTTACTACAATAAATCTTTAAATGAAATATTCAAATGGATCTAAATTACACTTAACACAAAATATTGATGAAGGAACAAATTACAGTCTCTTAAAACACAACAGAAATGTTTTTCTATAATATTCGCTCCATGTTCAATCCTGTTAAATCATATTCAATATAGTTGGTTATAGCTCAAATTTCCAGTGTAATTATTTACTAGGAGTAAGATTAAGAATCAAATATCAGTAGCTACCAAACCTAAGTCGAATATTAAATTTCAAACTATAGTTTAAATTTTAAACACATCATTGAAGATCTTTCCAATAAATATCATACTAAACAAGCATAACATACACATAAATTAGACAAACAAATTGTAAGTGTTTCTCTTTCTGTCACTTCAGTGCTTTCTAAATCTATTTTTGGGGTAAATTCTAGAGCCAAACACATATAATGAAATATAAAATAATAAATGAGTTTACAAATTGTAATACCTCATCTACACTTTCTTTTCTATAAGCATGACAGGCTAAAAACTAAAAGAAAAAAAAGAAAGAAAGCTCTGGTATTAGAATTTCAGTTAGGGGCATCGTTAGGTGTCTAAGAGGTTTAGGGCTCATGCTATTAGGCATGGGAATCTTTGGCATTTTAACTATAACTTAATTGTGTCAGGGATTCTGCCAAGAATTAATTGTGAGGATGTAAGGATGAGCAGATTGGGTGGTTGGACTTGTGGGATCAGTTCAATGGGAGAAGGGAGCTTTTTAGAATGGATGGTTTGCATTTAAATAGGGTAGAGTCTGGTTTGTTTGCAAGGGCTATTAACTCAGCTGTAAGGGAAATTTTCAACTAGGACTAGATAGTGGTGAGGGCCAGGGTAAACTAAATGGAAAAGAAAAAAAATCCTATGTTAAGAAAAGTTCAGCATAGAGAATTAATATAGAAGTAGTTGTAAGGATAAGCTTAATTGTTACTACTGTAATAATAAAAGTATATGAAATAAAATATGTGGCTTTAGGGTATGGTAGAAATGAAAGATTTTGATGTAATGGGAATAACTGAAACGTGGTTAAATGTAAATGATTTTGATGTCAGAAATTTCTTGAAAATACAGGGTTCTAGATTATTTAATATGGATAGAGTACTAAAGAGAGAGGGAGAAGTGGCTATATATATGTAAAATGTGAGTTACATCCTGTTTTTGAAGGTATGCTTAAAGAATTATATGTTGTGAATAGAGCAGCTAAGTTATTTGGAGACATTGATCACAAAAGAAAGGAGTAATGGTTTATCAGTCTCTTAAGCCATCCAAGCAGTGTGCTGTTGCTAGTGGTAGGGCAAATAGGATTTTGGGTTGTATCTACAGAAATATTGAATACGAGTCTAAAGAGATTATAATTTCACTGTATAGGTTACTGGTTAGGCCACATTTGTGTTCAGTCTTGGGCTCCTTTCCTTAGGAAGGGCATTGGATTGTTGGAAAGGATTTAGAAGAAGGTTTCTAGAATGGTACCTGGGATGGAGGGGTTGTCATATGAGAAGAGGTTATATCTCTGAAATTATTTTCTCTTGAAAAAAGAAGAGTTAGAGGGTATCTGATTGAGGTATTTAAGATTGTAAAGGGAATTGATAGTGTTGATTCATAATTTTTTTTCATACTTAACAGTGAGAATAGTAGGACTAAGAGACACAAATATAAATTTTGGCAAGGTAGGAGTCATCTTCAGCTAAGACAGTTTTATTTTTCTAACAGGATGGTTGGCCTTTGGAATGGGTTGCTTTCAGATGTTGTGTAGGCAGTAAATTTAAGAGAATGCTTGATAACAATATGAATGATAAGGGCTGGCATTAAGATTTTTGTATTTTATTTATTTATTTAATAGTTTAGTTTAGAGGATGGGACAGCCCAGATGGACCAATAGGACCCTTGTTGTTCCTAAACAGTATGATATGTTATACTTTATGTTGTGTATCGATCATGGTTCCTATTCTGATTTAATAGGCACTGTAAAACAGAATCAGGACACAGGCCCTGTATGCCAGTACTTAGCATTTTTTTAAATGGACTTTTGAAATAATTTTCAAGGAAAATCACCACTATAAAACGTGTACAAATTTCAAATTTATTTACACAACATCTAGACTTTTTTAAAACCTTAGATAGAATTTGCTTTTGTTTTGAATTTTGTGCAAAGCTACACGAGGGCTATCTGC